TAACAACCTCCTTTGAGTTTACTCAATGGGAGCAGGTTTTTCTGTATAGTTTTTATAAATTGTATAGCTTTCCTAAATGATATGAGTAAAAAAAAAAAAATTTTTTCTGAGAGTGTGTGTCGCACAATTCTACGACAATAAGTAATGTCAAAGGCGTTACCCTTAGACAGACAGAATTTAAATTTTTAACCCTCTTTCAAAGAAACTTCTCAGCACAGCTAAAGCAAGACAAATCGACAAATTATCCCCCACTTTTTCCCTTGTTGGTTTTTAAAAAACAGCCGCTGTCCCAAAGAGACCAGTCACACTTTATCTGACTCCAATATCCAAGATTGCTGAGAATAAGACAATAATTCGAAGATGCCCAGCCAAGTAATACAACACATGGAATATTTCCCTCAATGGACAATATATGATATTCAGAGGAAAATAGTATACAATTTGCATTCCAATTGTGCTATTTGAGCTTTCAAGTAAGTAATTTCTGATTGATAAAGTATTCTAAGGAAAAAAAATGGTTGCAATTTTTAGAAGTGAATATAAATTCTCGATTGCGAAAAAACAAAGAACATCAATTTTATTTGTACACTTTTCTTCTTCATTTTACAACAAATAGAACAATTACAACAACAATGCCTTTTAAAATCTTTTCAAAGAATTCACAAAAAGCTTCTGATTCAAAATCATCATTATTATCCAAGACAGAATTCAGCAAACTTGAGAAGAACATGAAGATGCTTTATTTCACTGGATTATTCCAGAAAAACCAGGCAACCGCCCAGTTTATTGCCAAATACCAAAAGGCAAAATTAAATTCCACCAATCCAATCTCAATCAATGAATTCTTGAAATCCATTTATAACGAGACACCGCAAGATGAGATACCCGAGCAAATTCACAAATTGTTCGTTGAAATTGCCATGAATGAAGACATCGATAGCTACAATCCTGTTCCCGCTGACAATACAACTGAATCATCAACCGACTTAGAATCATCTTATGAAACTATCGCCACTACTGATACTACTTCCACGTCTGTCACTACTGTTGCTGCTGAAACCACCACTGCTCCTGTTGTTGCTGCTGTTGCTCCTGTTGTTGTTGCCGCTGTTGCTCCTACTCCTATTCCTGCTACTGCAACTACTGCCACCAAAACAATTTTAATTTCATCGGATACAATTTTATTTTCATCGGATGCTGAGAATTCAGAAGAAGAAGAGGAAATCGACTTTCAAGCCATGTACAATACCACAACTTCATTTAAGTCTAAACTTTTTAACAACTGGTACAAAACCAAAATTCAATCCAAAGCTTTTAGAATCAATAGTGCCAAACGAATCAAGAAATTGTTCACGTTATTTTCAAAGGAGAATATTTTAGATCATGCTGACTGTTTTGAATTGTCCACTGAGGAAAACTGTGAACTATTGGGAATTGATGATCCTGTTGAGGACATTCCTACACAATCAACTATAAAACCTGTTGCTCCCATATTCACCCAAAATGACAAAACACATCCTACACAACCAACTAAACAACCTGTTGCTCCCCTTTTCGTACAAAATGACAAGACATATCCTCCTTTGAATACACTTACCGTACCTACAGATAGTCTTTCCAGATCTCTTCTAAATGCTTTGAGATGTGACCATATCATGAATGGAACTGAGCTTAGTCCATTGGTCCAATACATATCTCGTGACATGCATCTTCCAAGTGATGCCATGTTACGCAAATACACTACCGATTTTGCTCCTGTTACCCCCGAACGCCCCATGACTCCCAGTATTTCGGACCAAGAAGAAGATTATGATGACATGGACTCCATCCTGGATTATAAACCTACTGCCAGTTTTGATCCTTATACCTTCCCCCGCCAAAATTTTAACCAAGAAGAAGATAATGATGACATGGAATTCATCAGGGATTATTATTTCCAAAACGTAGAAGATTCTAGAAATCTATACAATGAGGATTGGGAAGTAATGCATCGATCAACATCATCTTATTCAAGTGACGATGACGATGAGTACCCAAATTCTTTTAATGTTGATGATTTGCTTCCAGAACTCAATTGCCAATCGTCATCTTCATTTTATGAGAATGGGCCAATAAATCCAATATCGGATATGGAATCCGAAGAAGAAGAAGATTTTGATTCTTCTAATATACAAATAATTATTGGTTGGTGATGGGGATGGCTATAATGGAATGGGATCAAGTGGGTGGATACCCCCCGGATGATTGTTATTTATTTGCTTATTTTAGTATTGTATAATATAATAATTTTAAACAAAAAAATCTCTTTAGTAATGTTTCAATACTCTAGCTACGATATGATCCATCCCAATGGAGGCGCAATCTCTATTTATTCGTGATAAATACAACTCGTTTTTCATTTCGGGTGGTGCAACCATCTCAAGTGATCAACATTTGATCTGGAATTGGGACATTTATGAAATTGAGATCCATATGTAGATTATTAAGCAAAATAACCAGCTTATTGGATAATGCTTGGAGGGCAGAAGAAGCAAGCTACAGTTTGCATTCGAATTATCTATTTTCAAGTAGTTCTTGATAAAACCTTACTGGGTAAATGGTTGCAATTTTTGAAAGTAAATATATCAAAATGATACCTGATCTCAAGAGGCAGCGAGAGGCTTTGTGCTTATGAACCCATGGTTCAACTTGCACACAACCTCTACAATATTCCAACTAATAAAAATCAGGATACAATGGGCTCTAGGCATCAATGTTTGTACCGTTGGTTAAATTTGGATACTTTCAGAATGTACATTCCACATAAGAATGGTCTTTTGCTCAATCTCTCCTACAAAGTGCAATTCCTCTTGCACTGACAATACTACTTTGCGTATTCAAATCCTACATGTCGTAGACTTACCCTCTCCAAAAGCACAGGGCCACCACCATTGATCCCCCCAGCGTCTTCAAAACCAGTAGATCTGTATTGGAGTTTTATCATTTGAATAGCGTCCAATTTCAACCCTGATTCTTCTTGCTGTCTTTGCAATTAAGTTAAAACTCTCGTACTCTTTTCTCATCAATATTAATTTCATGTATTTGATTTGTATTATCCGAAAATTCCAATTTACTCCAAAATATCTTCTCTTTGAATAAAACCAACATAGCATACTTTAGCTTCTACTGCTTGATCAAATATTTGTGGAATTACAATTGCATGTCGATTTATATCTGTTTTGAGTATAGTGAGACTCACTTGAAATACATATGAATGTATAAGCCCTAATTTTGCAAAGAAATCACATAAATTTCTCAATTTAATAACGCAATAATCATACCATGAATAGCAAACAATTAAATCATTCAATCTTGTTTATTCCTTTCTACTGGCTCCATTGAAATACAACCTTCAATCAATGAACCCCAAAAAGGTCTTCCCCTTTTGCCAACGGCTTAATAATGTCGATGTAGCAGGTTTGGCAGGACATTATGGATAAGCTGTTCTCTAGTCCATCAAGCAAAATCAGAATCAAGAATGGCAATGGGTTTAAATGAATTAAAATCGAATTGGAAATCTGGACTAATTATAGTATGAATGAATGGTCTGAAATCTTGATTATGAATATCTAAATGAAAACGTATATAGACGTTAACATGAGGCGAGTGTATAATTGCTTGTAATTGTTGGTTAAGGATCAAATCTGTCATCAATGTTAGTAATATTATGGTTGTTGTTAGTGGTGGTATTACGTGTTGCCATTAGTCATAAGGGTAGTAGTCGGAGTTGATACGTGATCAAAACTATTCAGACTTTGTTCAAACTTGGGTGTATTCATTTATTGGCATTACCCATTGGCTTTGGTGCCCTTACTAGATATTGAGCATTGATTGCAAATGAAAAGATGGAAACAAGTTTAATCTGTTTGGGTATTCTATCTTAGTTGGTGGTGGTGCGGGTAACAAGTGTAATTTTTTCTAGTCAGAAAATTTGCCATTTTGTTTTTTTTCATCAGAATAAAAACGATTTTCCTCCAGAATGTGGAATTTTGTTGATATAAAATATCGTAATTATTTAAAGTTTCAGAAATCTCATTTAACGTCATCGAAGCATATACTTACGGTCATTTAAACTACACTTTGTTAGTGGACAATTATATCATTCTATACAAAATTTGGTATTAAAAACCGTTTCCAACCCTAAAATTTTGTGGAGAATCCATCGCACAATGGCTGCAAAATTGGAACACAAAAAATTTACCAAAAGAGTATAAAAGATCTCCGGAAATCCTTTAGAAAAATTTAATTTTATTTGTGTTTTCTTTTCGTTCTTCTTTATTTCACTAGCTACCACAAACATTCATTCACATATCACAACTTTATATCATATACAGAAGGGAAGGAAGGGACTATACTAACCATACTACCTTCTATCTTTTAGGAGAGCATGAAGCTAGGAAACGATCAAGCTTCTTCTTTAGACGCTCCTTTCAGATTTATGTCTTGATTGTTGAGAAAGAGAATCTCGATTCTCCGATCTTGGCTCTCTTGGATATCTATCTAAGTGTTGGTTAATACCTGGTCAAAATCATTGCAAATACTGATGTCTGATGACACATGGTATTTCTTTGATTTGGCTGGGGGGCGAAGGAGATGTAATAGGTCCAAAGACCACCATACCATCTACAAGTTAGGCTTGTTGATCTGTTCTCAATTCTAGAATCAATTGTAACATCTTTTGCCTCTTACAAAATTGAAACTATCCATTTCCACCCGTCACAGTTTACCGTTACTGCATATAACCCTTTTGGTCATATTACCTTCTGGTCAAAGCTTCAGTAGTTTTAATGTATACTAGTGTATAGCCGGACGTTTTCCGAAGGTATCCATGTGGTTGGAGTAAACTATCGTTAATTTTTCAGTGCTGTATTGAGAGTTTGAAAATAGTGTATGTATTTGCTTCGGGAGCCCCTGAGCGAAATAGAAGAAGTTGTGGGAATCAGAAATTCTAGAAGTATCCAAATCTCCCAACATGATTGTCACAACCATTCATCAGCCGAATCGGAAAGTACTAACATATGTATCGAACAAATGCTATTCTATTGCAAATAGAAATGTGTTTCATAATTCTTGCAGCAATTTTGAATTTTTTTCTTGAGTTATCATGTTTGTAAGGTATATTACCCCACCAGTATCATAGAGTAATCGTCGAAATAACCAGGAATAATAAATGGACAGCCACCATGGCTCCGTTGAATCAATTTAACGATGCTAGCTCTTCATCTTAAAAAACATTGTAGTTTGGCTTTACATCAGTGTTCAATTTCCCCAATATTCAACATAAGCTGGAAGCGGATAAATTCGAATTTTTTCACTATTCAATATCCCATTTCATAAATAATATATCCATCTTTATTTAAACTGCTGGAACAAGTAAAGTCTCTATTTAGAAACGTTTAAGATATCAAATAATCTTCAGCCAATAGGTAGACCTCTCTGTCTTCTTACGGTATCGTAAACGGGTGTATGGACAAGACACCCTCCTTTTCCCATGGATAAAACACGGAAACAAAAGGATGTCCCGGGGTAATATTTGACAACTTCATGGATTTAATGCCTAATGGTTTTGCAAGTATAACTGGGAATACTCACACAAAATCATGAACCCTAGATGTTTTGGAAGTTTCCAAGAAGGGAGGCATCTTGGCATGAACGGTTTACTTGCTGTTAACCGTTTCTTTGTTTACTATGCCTGGAATAATAACCGTTTATATTATGTTGGGTATTCTCAAACAAATCAATACAATAAGAGGAATGTAGAGTGACATCATATCATATCTGTTCAAAGATAAGTTGTATTGTTAGTCTGTTGGTTTTGTGTATCATATTGTCTTCTCACGTGCACTAAAATTTGTTAACTACTACATCATTATGACGTTATCACAATTCAATGTAACCAGTAAAGAACTGGACCAAAGGGAACGCTGGAACATCGGCATGAAGAAACAGTGAAACGTTCGTATGTACACATTAGAAAAAAGACACACCATAAACACGTGAATTTTTTCATAGTCGTCTCCTGTCCACAGTTTTTTTTTTAACTTTTTAAACTGATAAGCAGGGGCAGGGGTGGGCGATGTGGAATCGGGAGATGTACCACTTTTAGGGATTTCGGAATAACGTTTCTTTTTTAGATTTCGGAACCAAAACGAAAAAAAAAGAAATGGAATTTCTTAAAAAATAAAATATTTTTTTAACTCGAATATTATTTTTACATTTAATCCGAAATTAAGTTATGAACTGATAATGACTAAGAAAATTTTTCTTTGAGTCATTGCCCCTTTGCCAGTCCATTCCATCCCATCATGAGAGATTGGACTGGTCAATACTAGAAAGAATTACTGTAGTCTGATTGAAGAGGAATTCAATCCAACCGAGGCAAAGCAAGTGCAACAATCAAGCAACCTTATCTGATTGACGTCCATGTGTTCCTTTTTTTTTTCCGGTTCCGTCTCTTGGTGTTTCGTCTCATCTTCTAAATTAAAATTGTAAACATCGCCTTGTTTTTTGTGTCATTTTTTCATTTCTTTTAAAATGGTATGACGTCTTCCCTTCTGTTTCCCTTTTATTTATTTCATTTACATTTAGTTAAAAATAAATATAAAACGTTTTATTATTTTGTAAGCATGTCACAATGCCGGTGGTACTGCATATACACTGCTAAATCACTCATTAATCATCACCAGTGTGTTATAGATCAAACCACAGGGACAACGTTTTTCCTTGAGTCTCCTTCTCCCTAAATATGTCCAAAATATTATAAATATCCCATGAAATCCCTTTACTTCTTTACTTCTGTTTATTTGCTTTTCATTTCTTCAGTTTAATATTCTTTAATTCCTCACACTCACTTAGTTTTAATTTCACATACATAAATATAACACACAATGACAATTGAAAAACAACCAGCTATCTTTTATATTCACGCCGCCTTATTTGATTGTGACGGTACATTAGTCAATTCAACTGGTGCGATTTCTGAATTTTGGAGAAATTTCGGTAAGACTAGACCCCACGTGAATCCAGAAGAAATCATTAGAACTTCCCATGGATGTCGTACATATGATGTGATTGCCAAATGGTCCCCAGAAGATGCAATCGAAGAACAAGTTACTGCCTGGGAAGGTGCAATTCCAGATACTTTCGGTCAATATGCTAAGCCAATCCCAGGTGCTGTTGAGTTAGTTAAATCATTTGATAAATTATCTAAAGAAGCAACTGATGATGGAAGACAACGTTGGGCTATTGTTACCTCTGGTACTTTACCTTTAGCTTCTAAATGGTTAAAATTATTAACTATTGAACAACCGGATGTTTTCATTACTGCTGAAAAAGTTACTAAAGGTAAACCACATCCTCAAGGTTATCAAGCTGCTAGAAATACTTTAGGTTATGAAGCAAGTCATAAGAAGGTTGCTGTCTTTGAAGATGCCCCAGCCGGTATTTCTGCTGGTAAAGGTGCTGGTGCCATGGTTGTTGGTATTTGTTCAACTTATGATCCTGAAAAGGTTAGAAAATCAGGTGCTAATATTGTGGTTAAAGATTTATCTTCATTTACAATTGATTCTTATAATAAAGAAACTGATGAATTTAAAGTTGTTGTACATGATTATTTCCATGCAGATGAAGAATATTTACAAGAAGCTTACTAAGGGGTCTGCTTTTTCAAACTGTTGAATTTGCTTTTATATATTTAACAAGGGTTGTTTTTAAGGTTATGTACATTTTTCTTTCTTATATTATAGATCTTTTTCTTTTTGGTGTATTTTTAGTTATAAATTTGATATTTTATTTTGATAATTAATTGGAGCATTTAGTTGGAATATTGTAGATGTTGTGTGCAAGTTTAACCATGGGCTCATAAGCACAAAGTCTCTCGTTGCCTCTTGAGATCAGTTATCATTTTGATCTATTTATTTTCAAAAATTGCAACCATTTACCCAGTAAGATTTTATCAAAAACTACTTGAAAATAGATAATTAGAATGCCAACTGTACCTTGCTTTTTCTACCCTCCAAGCATTATCCAATAAGCTGGCTATTTTGCTTAATAATCTACATATGGATCTCAATTTCATAAATTTCCCAATTCCAGATCAAATGTTGATCACTTAAGATGGTTGCACCACCCGAAATGAAAAACGAGTTGTATTTACCACGACTAAATAGACCTAACGCCTTAATTGGGATGGACCTATCCTAGCTAGAGTTATTGAATTTTAGTAAAGAGATTTTTTCGCTTAAAATTATTATATTAGACAATATTAAAATAAGCAAATAAATTACAATCATCCCGGGGCATCCACCAATTTGAATCCCATTCCATTACAGCCATCCGAATCACCAACAAATAACTATTTGTATATTAGAAGAATCAAAATCTTCTTCTTCTTCGGATTCAATAGTTGGATTTATTGGCCCATTCTCATAGCAAGATGAAGATGAAGATTGACGATTGAATTCCGAAAGCAAATAATCAAGATAAAATGAATTTGGGAACTCGTCGTCGTCGTCAATATAATGATGATGATGTTTGATTCTATACTTCCCAATCCTCATTGTATAGATTTCTAGAATCTTCTAAGTTTTGGGAATAAAAATCCATGATGGCTTGGAAGTCATGATTATATTCTTCTTGGTTGAAATTTTGGCGGGGGAAGGTAGAAGGTACAAAATTTGGAGTGGGTTTACAACTCAAGATGGAGTCCATATCTTCATAATTAAAAATATGGCGATGGGAATTAAAAGGAACAAAATTGGCAGTAGGTTTGTAATCCAGGATGGATTCCATGTCATCATAATCTTCTGCTTGGTCCAAAATACTGGGAGTGGTGGGGCGTTCGGGTGTAACAGGTGCAAAATTGGCAGTGTGCTTGCCTATAGGGAACAGAGCATCACATGGAAAATGAAAGCCGCAAGATATGTATTGGACCAATGGACTAAGCTCAGTTCCATTCATGATGTGGTCACATCTCAAAGAATTTAGAAGAGCTCTGGATAGACTATCTGTAGGTACACTAAGGGTATTCAAAGGAGAATATTTTGTTTCATTTTGTGTGAATATGGGAGCAACAGGTTTTATGGTTGGTTGTGTAGAATATGTTTTGTCATTTTGTGTGAATAGGGGAGCAACAGGTTTTGTAAATGGTTGTGTAGGAGATGTTTTGTCATTTTGTGTTAACAGAGCAACAGGTTTTGTAGTTGGTTGTGTAGGAACGTCATCAAGGTAATCTCCAAATCCCAATCGTTCACAGTTTTCCTCAGTGGACAATTCAAAACTGTCACATGATCTGAAACATTCTTCCTTGAAAAGAACGTGAACAATTTCTTGATTTGTTTGGCACTCTTGATTCTAAACGCCTTGGAACGAATTTTGGTTTCGTTCCAGGTGTTAAAAAGTTTAGACATAAATGAAGTTGTGGTATTGTGTATGGCTTGAAAGTTGAATTCTTCTTCGTCTTCTTGTGGGTCCTCATCGTCCGTTGAAAATAAAATTGTATCAGATGAAAGAAAAATTGTTTTGGTGGCAGTAGTAGCAGCAATAGGAGGAATAGTAGTGGTTGCAGTCGTGGGAGCAGCAGCAGCAGGAATAACAACAGGAGTAGCAGCAACAACATCAGGAACAACACCTGCACTGGTAGTTTCAGCAAAAACAACATCAGGAACAACACCAGTACTGGTAGTTTCAGCAAAAATAACATCAGGAACAACAGCAGTAGTGGTAGTTTCATCAGCAACAGTAGTGGCAGATGTAGAAGCATTATGAACAGCGGCGGTATTGTCAAAAGATGATTCCAGGTCGGTTGATGATTTAGTTTTATTGTCAGGGGGTTCTGGATTGAAGTTCTCTAAGTCTTCGTTCATTGAGATTTCGACAAATAGGTCGTGAATTTTCTCTGGTATTTTTTCTTGAGTTGATTCTTTAAAACAAGATTGCAAGAACTCAGTCATTGTGATTGGATAGGTGGAGTTTAATTTTGCCTTTTGGTATTTGGCAATAAACCTGGCGGTTGCCTGGTTTTTCTGGAATAATACAACAATGCCTTTTCAAATCTTTTCAAAGAATTCACAAGAATCTTCTGATTCAAAATCATCATTATTATCCAAGACAGAATCCAACAAACTTGAGAAGAACATGGGGTTTCTGGATTGAAGTTCTCTAAGTCTTCGTTCATTGAGATTTCGACAAATATGTCGTGAATTTTCTCTGGTATTTTTTCTTGAGTTGATTCTTTAAAACAAGATTGCAAGAACTCAGTCATTGTGATTGGATAGGTGGAGTTTAATGTTCTTCTCAAGTTTGTTGGATTCTGTCTTGGATAATAATGATGATTTTGAATCAGAAGATTCTTGTGAATTCTTTGAAAAGATTCGAAAAGGCATTGTTGTTATATTTGTAGTGTTTGATCTATTTGTTGTAAAGTGAAGAAGAAAAGTGTACAAATAAAATTGAAGTTCTTTTGTTTTTTTTGCAATCGAGAACTTATGTTCACTTATAAAAATTGCAACCATTTTTTTCCCTAAGAATATTTTATCAATCAGAAATTACTTACTTCGAAGCTTAAATAGCACAATTGGAATGCAAATTGTATACTATTTTCCTCTGAAGATCATCCATTTCCCATTGAGGGCACTATTCCATGAGTTGCATTACTTGACTAGGCATCTTCGAATTATCGTCTTATTCTCAGTAATCTTGGATATTGGAGTCAGATAAAGTGTGACTGGACGCTTTGGAGAGCTGCTGCTTTTATTAAGAGCTACGAAGGTAAAAGGGACATATTTGTTGTTGAAAAGGTTTGAATGTGTCTTGATATACCAGGAAGGCTTTTGGGCCGAAGTGTTTGCAATTGAAGTTTTATCTCTAGATTTTTACCTTTGACTCTTTTTATTGTGGTAGAATTATGCGACACTCGCTTTGAAATATGTAAAATGAATAGTTGGTAGCCCCAGAGATGAGATGTATTGGTATTTGGTAATTAATGCATTAAGAGAGTAATAACGAATACACAAGTAAATTGGATTTATCACTCATCTCAACTTTAGTGTTTCTGGAGTCAAAATGATGATCATAATTTGGCTACAAATTACATATCTTCAATTCCGTTCCAGTTGATAAAGTTTCGATATTACCAATTGCTCCGATGTCAAAGGATGTGAACAAAACGTATGATAAAGAATCTTTGAGCAGATCTCTATTGAACGCTACCCAAATTATTGAAAACGAAAATCTCTATTGTTAGCAGCAGTAGGAGTAGTAGCAGTAACAGGATTACTAGTAGCAGCAGCAGGAATTCTACCTTTGTGGGTTGTGTGCGCAACGCCACCTAAACATCATGATGTATAATTTCACGTCATTGGTGAACACTTGGATAGTTAAGATTCCAATTGGCCATCTTCCAGACAAATTGATTACACCATAATAGTTTTTCTCAAACGATACTTTCAGTTTAACTAATGGAAAGTTAAGTTAAGACTATGTACCTGTCTAATACAAAAACACTTCATCAATATCGGAGCCTGGATTCTCACCAACCACCTTAGTATTGACACCTGTCTTTCATACAATCTGTTTCGCATTCCCTTCGCAACAGAGCTTGTACATCCAGGTTAAAGTTCCTTCCTTGCCAATTAATGTATGGACTGCATCTTCCAATATCTTTCTGTATGCTGATGCTCTTCTATTGGACCAAATGGATATTTATTTCTCCATTAACATCTTGGGATTTGTGGAGAGTCATTCGTAGTTGTAATTCCACTTTCAGAATTATCAGGCAGGACACGAATCAGCCCATCACCTGAATCTGTATCAACATCGACATTTCCAACAATATTTCTACTTCTTGACGTAATACCTTTCATAACATTTGTAACTTTGGACTCTCCAGAAGTTGAATGAACTTGGGAGCTGAGCATTTGGTGAATCCTTCACCTTCTCGCTCTATTGTCTTAACACTAGGTTCAATCTTGGGTACCGACTTCCTATCATTAAAAAATGGAACGTACTCTGAGCCGGGCTCTTCCTCGCCCATTACCCATAAGCTGAGTACACCTCACATTATCTTTCAATTAACGAAAGGGATTAATCAATAGCGTGCATCGGTGTTCCAAAAGATCTGTGTATTTATTGAACATGAATGAGAAACATTGTATGTTTGTTGCAAAAAAGCTTGGTGGGAAAAATATGTATGTTGGACGGATTACAGGCAAACTTAAAGTACCTATAAACATACTTAAGATAGAATTCCTCTACTACCATCTCAATATACATAATATTTCCAAATGTATACTAAGTAGTGAAAAGATGAAAGTGACCCACATAATTTTATGTCACCATTAGGTTTGTTGAATTATGCTATTCTACCCGAGGGATTCTTCAATGGTGTATCTGAATTCCAAAACAAGATATTGGGGGCCCATGTGGGCGGAATTTGCCTTTAATTTTATTGGATGATGTGGATATCAAAGGACCCTTAGTCAAGTAGTTAATGAAGATGACGAGAGACCGGATAAATTAAATTTATTAATTTTCTAATTTTCTTTTCAGGAGGATTTAGATGATTATTTATATTCCTTTAAATTCCTTTTTGGCAACCATTTCGAAAGATTTATACATGGCCCCTTTTATTCTAATTTTAGGATTGATTTACATATTACGATTCTTGATGTTTTAAATTTACAGCTTTTGAGGGATTTTAAATTTGGTTGCAAAATTTTTTTGGATATCTCAATTTATTGTTCGTTGTTGTGGCAATTAGTATTTTCTGCTGTAGATAATAATAATTTATTTTTTTAACAATGGATACTTTCTAATTTAATTTTCAATGATTTGTATATCCAGACTAAAATCCTTTAACAACCCTCTGGAGGAGGGGGGGGAGGGAGGGTGGACTCTTGGATCAAGTAGTGTGAACTATTTCTCACCAAATTCTTTACCAAATGGAATCACAGTCATATTTGTTACTTAAACCGCAAAAAGCTTATATACAGTACCAGAGAGTTGTGGCCGGTAGGAGGGATTCAATGAGGCGAAAGCTAAATTCAGCATTGAAAACAGCTCAACATCCTAGCTTGCTGAAAAGGATGACCGAGTCTTGTTAGACCCCTCTTTTCACAAAATGAAGTCATCTACATGATGTGATGGTAGTCAGAGAAGGAAACAAGACATGGTGATAAGGTGGGAATATTATTAGCTGAGAGAGCAAAGGCTAATAATTTGTTAATTACCAAGATATTGAAAACGATGAAGAACCAAGAGGTAACTAAACCTCAACATCATCGAAACCGCGGGCAATTATCGAACCGTGCATTCCGAGCTCGTTGTTTCTTTATCAAATTGATCCCCATATTAGCCAATGTATTTCGATTGGTAAGCTATGGAGACTCAGGTGCTTATCGGATATGAAAACTCGGAATAACAGGGTATGATGCCCGAGAATTTTCCCCTGATAATACATTGTACCTGTCAGAATTTCAAGCGAAAATTGCTCATTCTATATGTTGTTCTACCGGTTTTATATTGAGATAATATCAGTCCCCAGTCCGAAGTTCTTATTGATGGCAAAATCTCGAAATGGACCCTGTGCGTTCCCCACCTTTTACGATTATAATTATGTTACATATGTTTTTAGATAGAAGTGTCAATTGTTCAATTGATTCTCAAGGGGATTCTATAAAATATTTCAAGATAAGGTTTATCGGATCGTTTTTCGGTTTTATTTATCGTCTTATTCCGACTTGGTATAAACCATGTAATTGCGATAGAAGATGTGGTTTACCGGGGCTGCCACGACTAGAGTCGCCACCACCACTTCGTAATGCTTAGTAATTTCCAAATCCCACAGTTTTGTGTGTGTTTACACTTTCAGTCCTATTGTTCGGTCCGGACAATGTCCCAATTGGGGTATTTCCGCACTCCACAGTAATTGGGAGTGAAAAATTTCTACACCTATAAATATAAACTCAATTGTCGAATTATAAAAAAATCTACAAGATTCTCTTTTCCAAATGTTAAGAATTTCTTCAATCTTACCAAAACTACAACAATTAACAAAAAGACAATTCCTTTCAACAAAAATGACTGCTATTACATTACCATCAACTCAAAAAGCTGTTTTCCATGAAGAAATCGGTGAATATGATGTTCTTAAATATGACGACGTTCCTACTCCAACCATCGAATCCTCCCATGACATTATTGTCAAAAACGCGTATGCTGGTGTTAACTTCATCGAAGCATATTTCAGAAAAGGGATCTATAAGGCACCTTCATTACCTTATGTATTTGGAAGAGAAGCCCTGGGGGAAGTTGTTGCCATTGGAAATGATGTTAAGAATTTAGCTGTGGGTGATAAGATTGCATATCTTAGTGCTAATACTTTTGCTCAATATACCAAAATTGATGATTCTTTATTTAGATATATCAAATTGAATTCTGATGCTAGTGATGAAGAATTGAAGGTTCATGGATCGATCTATTTACAAGGTTTAACTGCATTGACATTTATTAATGAAGCTTATAAGGTTAAACAAGGGGACTATATTTTAGTATGGGCTGCTGCTGGAGGTGTTGGGAAAATATTGGTACAATTGATTAGTCAATTAGGTGCTCATGTGATTGCTATTGCTTCAACTCCTGAAAAATTACAAGCTGCTAAAGAATTAGGTGCGGAATATTTGATTAATAGTTCTACTGATGATATTGTTGCCAAAGTTCAAGAAATCACTAATGGACAAGGGGTTGACGCTTCATTTGATTCAATTGGGAAAGATACTTTTGAAACCTCTTTGAGTTCAATTAAAAGAAAGGGAACTTTTGTAAGTTATGGTAATGCTTCTGGTCCAGTTACTCCATTCCCATTAGCTGTATTGTCCCCAAAGAATATTAAGATTGTTAGACCTCAATTGTTTGCATATATTGATACTCCAGAAGAATGGAAGCATTATTCTCAAGAATTATTGAAATTGATTGAACAAGGTAAATTAAAATTTGATATTTCAAAAACTTATGAATTGAAAGATTATCCTCAAGCTGCTAAGGATTTAGAAGGGAGAAAGACTACTGGTAAATTAACCTTAAAGATTCCTCAATAAGGAACTCATGCTGACTCTTACTCTCTATTTAGTTATGTCTAAATATATCTTTTGTTTATGTTTTGAAATATATGAATATATTTATCTACAACTTAGGACAGGCGTTTTCATATTTCATTAAACATTGAGGAGTTGCAAAACCATATACCAAATTACCTTGTCCATTAGATATTATAGCAAAATAAGTACGATCGGTATTTGCAATGATATTGACTAGGTTTTAACCAGCACTTAGACAGATACCAACAAGCCATAATTGGAATATTGTTACTTTCCTTTTTCAACATTGAAGATACCCATCTGAAGGGATTCTTCTGGCTTAGAAAGTGGACCCCTTCCTAGCTTCAGACTAGTTCTTTGCCTTATGTTAGCATAGTTCACCAAGTATCTGTTCTGCCTCTGGAATGAAAAGTTCTATAGTTTATTGTGTACCAATTGTGTCCGTAGAACATCTTCAACAAATCAGAATATCTTCAAGATACCAGCAATCTCCAATAGGGCTTGATTGAATGTAAATATACGTACCGTTTTCTTATCTTTGATTGATTGTAGTAGTTGAATAGATAAGAAGAAGAAGAAGAAGAAGAAGAGAAAGAAGAAAACACAAATAGTTTTGTTTTCAGTGGGAATTATACGGTTTTTTGCTTATGGTCAAATTGCAACAAATTTTGCAATTGTTTTGAAAAATTCCACGACTTGAAACATTGTACAAAAATACAGCTACCAATTAAAGTCTATCTTGCGACTGCCCCCATATTTATATATAAATTATATTCTAAAGGACGCTTGCCATAAATGACTTGAGAAGATGAAAAGGCTACTGATGCAATGAGTCAAAGCGTTTATTATGTTTCAATTGGTAGCAACACCAACAGTATGATTATCAGAACTTATCAGCATAACTTCTGTTTCATCTTAACAAAGTAATTAGATTACGACTTATCAATTATTGCATACTAGCTGTCATATCTTCCAAAAAGATACTTAAAAGCCATTGAGATGTTACCATTGACCATTCGAGGGACACTCTGACAGATATTTTATTTTTCCTTCTAGATTTTGTTAAGATTTAAGACAAGAGACAGTGGTAATTAAATACAAAGATTAATTAACCTAAGTGATATATCTAGAATGGATAATAATTGCTTATATACATCTTTATTACTACTTTCAATATATATTAATTTGTGTGTGATGTCCATCGTTCTTCGCTCAGATTGTTTGTTGACACTTTGTATTTGGAGAATGTTACCCGAGTTTCTCACTGATAAGCCGTTGTATTACTTTTATTTCAACATCTTCCCTTAATCCAATATGGTTTGTAATTCTTCTAGTTTCCATCAAAACCTTTCACTCAGTTTCTCCTGCAATTAGATCACGATTAGTTTGTTATCATTATTCGAACTAAATAGCGTTCGAGGCCGTACATCCGAGCCCTTGAATAATTTTCTTTTTCAGCCTCGCCATTCGATTTGCTTCTCTTTCCATTCCGTTCTATTTTCTGATACGGTGAATGGTACTGTCTGGATATTGCATGTTACACTAAACTAAGCAAGCCAAGCTAATCATGCCAACTAGTAGACAAACATACAAATATGGTTCTTAAGAATTCAAAATGGGACAAGAAAGCTAAATAAGAATACATGAAGAAACGTGGAATCGCCCCATCCAAACCCACTGCTACCGAAACTTCCCATTCCAAATGGTCACCCAAGAAACAGATTGATTGAAATAAGCCAGTACTAGACCCCAAAAACTTCATATCAAACGATTCAGTTGGAGTGGCATGGAATTAGCCACAATCAAGTTGGACAAAGGGCCAGTGATAGAGGAAATTATTACAATTAAAACGAACTGGTATCATTATAGTAAAGAAATTCATTAAGTTGAATATACAATAGTTAAATAAGAATAGTACCATCCTAAAAATGGGACCCCCGCTCCGTCTCCAATTCATCCCAACTCCAGATTAAACCAATCCTTCTTCCCTGAAATCAGATAAAAACTCAATCACACAAAGTAACCATTGTCAAAGTGGATAATTTAGAATGAATAGAAAGTTCCTTTATTTTTTTTTTTTTTGATTTTCATGTCTGCAGCCATGAAGGGAGAAATGCATTTACGCACGAGTTAACAGTGTGGGACTCGACCTTTCGGTAATACCCACTAAAACTCCCTTGAAATCCCGCTGTATCCCAAAAAATAGCGCTCAGAAACCCATAATATCCATCATAGTAATTAACCGTTGCCCAAGCGGATAATTCAGATGAATGGAAAGTGCTGTGCACCAGTATCTCAAAAAATAGCCCCCAGTACCCATAATAACCCTCAGAAACCCATAATAGCCCTCAGAAACCCATAATATCCATCATAGTAATTAACCGTTGCCCAAGCGGATAATTCAGATGAATGGAAAGTGCTGTGCACCAGTATCTCAAAAAATAGCCCCCAGTACCCATAATAACCCTCAGAAACCCATAATAGCCCTCAGAAACCCATAATATCCATCATAGTAATTAACCGTTGTCCAAGCGGATAATTCAAATGAGTGGAAAGTGCTGTGCACCAGTATCCCAATAATAGACCCCAGAACCCATAATAAACCTCATTGAAGTTAACCGTTGCCCAAGCGGATAATTCAAATAAGTGGAAAGTGCAAAACACCAGTAATCCAAAAAATAGCCCTCAATGACCCATAAATATACATGCTGATTTTTCAAAAGTGATCTTTTAATTTCTGATAATGATAGCAGCTGGAACTTTGATTTAAAAATAATGATTAATGGAATATGGATAAGATTTAAGGATAATGAATTGGAATTTTTTTGCAAATGATTCGGTGATAATAATAAACCTGATAATGAGGATGACTTGACTGTACGACTAGGATGAATGATGGATGTAGTTGAATTTGACTTGAATTTGTTTGTGAAAAGTAAAGAAGAAAAGAAAAGGATTGAACTCATTTGTGGCGTCTAAAATTTATGCTGCAAATTTTCTTTTTAAATTCTGGAACAACTGCGAAAAAATACTTATCAATCCTTTGTTAAGATCTAAGAGACAAGAGACAGTAAGCCTTAAGTACAGAGGATAACTATTCTAAATGATATGTATGGGAATGGTATTATAAACCCCAGTACTTACTTCTCGTAGTTATTCTCACTAGTATCTATAGACATATATCAATTTATGTATCTTGTTGATATTTCTTCATCTTAACTCTTAAATAACGGCGCTACCATCCCAAAGAAATAATTAACCTCCACTACGAATCAATTAAAAATGTAAAACAAAGTATGAAATGGATATTCCAGCATCCTGTTCTCTAAGATAGGCTACTTATATTGCATATTGTTGGCACTAATATATCGTAACGAGGGAAATACAAAATGTAGTATAATATTTGCTTTATTAACTATTATTATCAGAATCATACTCTGTATCTCTCTTTCTTTTTCCATCTAATTATATACTTAGATAAACACCTATCAATCATCTTCGTTGCAAGCAGGTGTCAATGGTAATATCACATTTCCTCTTTTGATAAATATAACATCCTTCAAAATAAATTCTTGACCATCCAAATGATTGCTTTTGAATTTAAGATAAGGAAACACTTCATATAATATTGTAACTATTTTTATTGTGTCTATTCTTCGATGTGTTTACAAGGAGTATCCTTGTTTGCTTTCTAGTTTCCAGGAGTTTAAATGTCTTCTCATCGATTTCCTTCCTGGTAGTAAATATTTCACTTCTTCATACAATAATTTTTTTTTTTTGCCTCTGGTTTAAATCTGGAGCCAAATCATTGTCAGCTATTTCCATAGTATTCCACAAGTATGATTACATTCTAAACAATCATCATGGCCAGTTCAGGATACGTAATCAATATATCATCAGACGAAGAAGAAATAGACGACAATGATGTCGAAATCGTTGAATTTCGCAAATTAACAGCTGACCTAATGGAACACCCACAACAATCATCCGAATCAAGAAGAACAACCAAAAAACTAGCAGATGTTCAATGTCCCATTTGTTTTGATGAAGTCACACAAGCAACCACAACTTCATGTGGACATATATTTTGTCTTGAATGTATCCAACAGAGTATTGCTAGTTCTCATGCTCGTGGACAAGTTAGGAACAGTGCTAATGGGGGCAGAGGACGAGGGAGTCAAGGTCTGGGAGTTGGACTTTGTCCATTATGTAGGAAAAAAGTCATTTTTAAAGAGACTATTGTGTTAAGAATGAAAGTTGGTAAGAATAATGGGATACCGAAGTTACCTGAACTGACGATTAAGCCTCATGAGATACCTGTTGAATCAATAAAACCGGATGATAAGAAGAAGAAGAAGTGAGAAAGTTAATATAATTGGTACTATTCAATAAGACTCAAGAAAAAGGGAGAAATGGAACACGCGTTTTTGATGTCATGAATTGTTCTAGTGGAATTGTCTTACAAGTATCTTCCATATCAAGCTTTACTTTTAGAGCGGCGAAAAGGTATCCAAAAGAATTCTAGAATTCCTAGTTTCGGGCATGGTCTGCTTCAACAAATCCAATATATGAAAATATCGGTATACAGTTGTGTCAATAGATTTCTCCGGTATAGATCCAGACTCTATTTTACTAAGAATAGACTTTAATTTTCAAGTTTGTCCTTTACGATAGTCTCAAAAGAGAGATGCTTACTTATTGAATCGAGATAGGGACAAATGCCAATTCCAATTACAAGATATCAAGCTAGTGTCATACGTGGCCAAACAATTTATAAAAAACTTTATGCATTACGAAAAGGTAATTAATTAATACAACAATCTACAAATATAAACCTTCAAGATTTTCCTCAATTTTATTTTTAAGAATTCTTTCCTTTGCAGCTCTAAAATCTTCAGCTTTAACTTGCATACGTCTTTCTCTTAATGCCAATAAACCAGCCTCAGTACATATAGCTTTAATATCAGCACCAGATAATTCATCTTTTGAAGTTACAATTTCATCCAATACAACATCATCAGCTAAACTCATTTTTGAAGTATGAATAGTTAAGATTTTCTTTTTAGTATTAGCATCAGGATTTTCAAATAAAATCTTACGATCAATTCTACCAGGTCTAATTAAAGCAGGATCAAGTGATTCTATTCTATTAGTAGCCATAATAACTTTAATATCACCTCTATCATCAAACCCATCTAATTGATTTAATAATTCCAACATAGTTCTTTGAATTTCACGTTCACCACCAGAACTAGATTCATATCTCTTAGTACCAATGGCATCAATTTCATCAATGAAAACAATTGAAGGTGCTTGTTCTCCAGCAATTTGGAAAATTTGTCGACATAATCTTGGACCATCACCAAGATATTTTTGAATTAATTCAGAACCAACAATTCTTAAGAAAGTTGCACTTGTTTGATTTGCCACTGCTTTAGCTAATAAAGTTTTCCCCGTACCTGGTGCACCATATAATATAACCCCTTTAGGTGGTTTTATTCCCATTTCTTCATATAATTCTGGATGAGTTAAAGGTAATTCAACTGCTTCTTTAATTTCTTGAATTTGTGATTCCAATCCACCAATATCAGCATAGGATTCAGTAGGAGATTTATCAAGTTTCATAACCGAAACCATTGGATCGGCATCATCTTGTAATACCCCGACAACAGCAACTGTTTTATGATGTAATAAAACTGAACAACCTGGTTCTAATAATCCTTTATCAACAAAAGACATAATTGATACATAATATTCTGAACTGGCAGTACTAGAAACAATTGCATGATCATCATCAATGATTTCTTCTAAAGTACCTACCGCCATTGGAGCACCTCTTAATTCATCAACTTTTTCCCGTTCTTCAGCTTGTCTTGCTTCAGTAGGTTGGAAAGCTTCTTGATTAGTAACAAATTCTTCTTCTAGTAATAAATGATCTTTAATTCTTTCTAATTTTAATAATTTTAATTTACATCTTGTATTTGGAAATACTGCTGGTAATTTAACAGCAGTATCAGGTCCCTTTCTTCTCTTTTTACCAAATTTTGATTCAACTGGTGGTTCATATTTTGGTTTTTCTTTCTTCTTGTCATCTTTCTTCTTATTGTTAGCATTGTCGCCACCTGGCATACCCGAAGGACCTTGACCCATTTTTCTTTTATTATGTTTTATTTATAAATGCAATTGATATGAAGAGTAAATTCAATTGAATGTTAGTTTTGAAGTTTTTCAGTTTAAAACAAATCTTGTTCTTTTTTTCGCCACTTTACACCAAAAAAAGAAGAAGAAGAAGTCAATCCCAATTAGGAAATCATGGCACGTGACTTTCTTGAAATATTAAAATCAACAGTTATGTTAATAAATGTTTTATACTTAATAGTAATTAGTAGATAATAGTAAATAGTATATATATATATATAATACTTAGGAGTTAGTGTGCTAGACATTAAATTTATTATTTTCTTTCTCTGCTTGAAAAGATTACATAGATGGTTCACTGGAAAAGGCAATCAATAATGGGAGATACTTAGTAAGTACATGTAAGTAATATTCTGAATTAGTCAATTTTGTCTTCAATAAATCACCTTTTCCCTCGTATAAACTGTTTGATTTCAACTTTCCTTAAACCAATCGAGAAGACTCATTAGTTCATAATTTCTCTTACTTAATTAGAAATTAGTCACACACCAATAAAAAGAATCTGGTCAAGTACATCGCTACCAACCAAAAAAAGTTGACCTCTTTTTTTTTTTACAACACAACTGATTAAAAATTACCTATCACCTATCGTACCACAACACCCACCATATATATCCATACTGTGTTTGCCAGTACTAAAGAGATTACCAATTCATGTTTCTATTGACTTTATAAATGCTGCGATCAGGGGAAAAACTAAAAGATAAGGACTATGCTTCCATAGTTACTCGACTACGGCCATCAAAACAATCTCTTCATGGACAACGACCAATCAATACATTAACTTCAAAGGAACTGTCTTCAAAGAGTCCAGCTACAATACCACCACCAACGACAAATTCTCCAGATGTATCCAATAGAGACAATATTAAAGATCAACTACAAGCTTCTCCAAATGCTAAGAAAAGATTGGATTCATTGAAAACCATGCAGTCTCTTCTCGGAAAAGCAAACCCCAGTTCCCCCAGACACAGTACTAGGCTAACTGATAGTATCATCCACTCACCACGATATTCATTGTCATCACTATCGTCATCATCTTTGCTGCCATCATCAAGAAGAGTAGCACGAGATTGTTTTGAAGAACCCATCGATCCACGTCTACTTGAAGTCCCACCCGAGTACATAGCATCAATTGCATTAATATCATTCAGATATAATAAAGAAACTCTTAGTCATAATTCGGTGAAAAATCGATATTTCCTTAACGTATCCAGAGATAATAATTATTTATATATTACCAATAATACAGAAATCTGTGATAAATGTTTCCTAATTAGACAAAAACATTTAAAAAGATTAGCATTTTCCAATGAATCAGTTGTGATTGAATTAAATCAAAATAGAGGAGTAATAGTTGCCGTACATCACAGTAACGACACCGCATTTAGAGACTATTTTAATAGTCACCCAGTTTGGAATGTAGACACCTCAAAAACAATAAAAGATGTTAAAGTTATAGAAGACAGGATTGAACGAGCCGTGAATCCTTTCCGAAGTGCCATATTTGGAAAAGCATCACGAACAACAAGAGCTAAAGCTAGAGAAAGTATGGGTGGGGATTCAGAATTAACTCCAATAGAGTTGGGTGAAGATGAACCCAATAGTATATTTCTTGAAGATGATTTCCAACCATATGAAGTTCCAGCTGATTTTTCACCCGATTTAAAATATGCATTTGATGAAACTAAAGTTTTTACAATAGCTTATTCCGATTTCAAAACATTATATAATAATGATTGGGTAAATGATACAATTATAGATTTTTTCATTCAATATGAAATTCATCAGGCTCTTGATTCAAATAAATTTCTTGATCCAAAAGATTTCCATGCTTTTAATTCATTCTTTTTCACAAAATTAATGACTAAATCATCAACTGATCCAACTCAAACTCCGGATTATTATAATAATATTAAAAGATGGTTAACAAAATTGGACTTGATGAGTTTCCCATACGTGATATTACCAATTAATGAAGGTGCACATTGGTATTGTTGTATTATTAGAGGATTAGATGATTTATTAGAAGCGGCAATCAAAGAGAAATCCAAGGAGGGTATCAAAAAAGAAGAACACGAGCTGGTTATCTTGAGTGACGGAACACCACCTGCGCGCCTGCCACCTTTATCACAACAACAAGACCCAGAATTTGATTTTGAGTTTACACTGGACACTGATTCAAAACAACAGGAAGGTATTACTACACCCAAGTCAAAGCAACTATTAAAAAGACCATCCCGTCCAGCTACAATTTATGTATTTGATTCATTAGCTTATAAACGACACAATATTAATATTCCCATTAAACGATTCATTATCGACTATTGTCAAGATAAATATGGAGTAAACATACGTAAGGATCAAATCATAGTCATTAATGCAAAAGTTGCCCGACAAAATAATCTAAGTGATTGTGGTATACATGTCATTTATAATGTCAGGAAATGGATTAATAATATTTCTGAATGTGAACGGATTTGGAGGAAACCACAAGCTCTGAATAATGAAGTACGTTCATTTTTCATTCCTGAGGAACGGAAAGGGATGAGAAAGGAATTGATTAAGATTTTGTTGGATTTACATGCACAACAACAACAACGACAAGATAAGGATGGACATAAGATCAGGATTGAACACGAGGAAGACGATGACGATGTGATTGAAATTAGGGAGCATACTCCTGTTCCTTCTGCATTACCCCTACCCCCACTACCTTCACCACCACCTCCTCTTCCGCGTATGCTAGTTACAGAAGCGGAGATTCAAGAAGATGTTCCAATGTCAGACGCTCAATCTAAGGACCGCAATATAAAAGAACCAGCAATATCGGTGACAGAATCAGATCCGAAAGAAAGGTCATCTCGGAAAATAGAAAACGAGGAAAATGATACAGGCATGTCTCAAGATCCAAATGAAACGACGAAACCAGAAGCAGATGCCGATGGAGATATTTTCATGACTCCGGAAGAAGGTCAATCAAATACTTCAAAGACCGGATCTCCTCGAGATGATGATAGTGATGTGATAATGACTCCAACTGATGAATCGCAACAAAGTGAAGAAATTGATCAACGAGCCGAAATTCTGGATATGCAAGAAAAGGAAACACCAAGTAGAAAGCAAGCTTCACCCGAGGAAGAGATAGATGATGAAGTAGTTATTGTAAAAGACAAAAGTCGAGCCAAATATGAATTCAGACTGCTTGATCCCCGAATAATCGACACCCCTGATCATTCTATGGAATATGAAAGATTCAAGAATTCTCATTTAAATGAATCATTCCCCCTCGCAATGATTATTCCTGATAATATACTCCAAACTGTGAATGAATTAATCCCAAAATCAAACATAAATGTATCTGATGAAGTAATAGAATTAATTGAAAGTTATATTGGAGCCGGCAAGGAAGCTTTTCAATTCCAAAAACAGAATTTTTTAAAGCAGTACCAAGATATTATTGAGAATGAAAAAGCAATGGTGGATTCGACGAGACCAAGTAATCAGGATTTCGAAATTAGACCATTTTTAGCTTCAGATACGATAGTTAGTGAGACCGATAGTGAAGGGATGGTGATCAACCAAGAGGAGAATGACGAACTGGATGGGATGAAGCATCTGATTTCAGAAAATGCTCATGGTGTTGCACAATTAGCAATTACTGAAAGTTCAACGAGAAAATCAAAGTCTGAAGAAGGCATTAAAACTCCAAAGAGGTTGCTTATTCTGGAACCTTTTGAAAGTCCAAAGGATAAGGGACTTGATGATGCTACACGACCTAAGGAGGTAAACTCGAAGTATGAAACACTTGGCCCTGTAAGAATTGAAAGAAGAAGTAGGGAAGATGGAAAAGAGAAAGATGTGATCGAAATAGAAAATCCAAATATATCCCCAGGATCAAGAAGTCGTAAGATTTCAACTGATAACTCAACTCCAAAGGCAAAGCTTTCAAAATCACCTTCATGGTATCGACCAAGAAACACTAAAAGCTCATCCAATAGTCCGAAAGCTAGCAAACATTCACCACCACCATTACCACCACCTCCATCTCCACCACCACCGCCTACTCGTGGACGCATTAAACAACATCCCGAGGTTATACATATAGACGGCTCACAAGATGACCTGGTCCAAACTAAGGATTCACAACAACCTAGGTCCACTTCCTCATTGACTAATCCAATCAATCTTGAAGATGAAATTAATGGAAGGAATCAAGAAACAGCAATATCAAAGAGTCAATTAAAACGAAATGATCCGAATCGACCAGTTAGATCAACTCGAAAAGAAGTTAAATATTTAGATACTAGACCCTATAAAAGATCGCCTACTCCTCCTGTTGTCCCGAAAAAAGAAACCCCCCCTGAAAGCAAACCTCATGAGATTGTTGAAATTATTGATCCCGAACCTCCAAAAACAAATAATGATAAACCTAGGATATCTGGACATGAAACTCGATCCAAGACTGGAGTAGTTAATGAAATCAATTATAATCCATCGAGAAAAAATGGTGGAAGAAAAAAGGGAAAGAAACCTGATAAGAAAGAACCGATTGTCGTTAGTGATGATGAACGACCATTACCACCACCTCCGGGTCCACCTCCTGGCCAACCTCTTGGTCCGCCACCTGGTCTGCCTCCACCTTCATCCAGACTGGGAAGTACAGAAAGGAAGAATCAAAAACCACCAATTGGTTGGGCTAGGTTTCCTCTAGAAGACAATTCGGTGGGTCCAATTACATCCGAAATTAATAAAGCAAACCGGTCACATCTGGAAGACACGGTTGTTGAAGATTCGCATGGTGGTGGTAGTAGTAGTAGTAGTAGTAGTAGTAGTGGTGGTGGTGGTGGTAGTAGTAGTGGTGGTGATGACAAATATGATGATGATGATTTAGCGACAAATATCTTAAAGAGAAAACTAGATGATCATGATCGAGGTGTAAGTAATGAAGGAGGTTCTTCTTCTCCTCGATTACCTCGTGACAGAGATTATATTGCACAGGGACGGTCTAGTTCTACAGAACGGGATTATTTTTCTGTGAACATTAAGTATGCAAAAAGTAAACTGGATAAAGATCAGGCGTATAAGAAAAGGAAGCATCAATAGAAAGTTAATAGTAATTAATATATATAAGTTTTACAGTGGTTGATAATGAAAGGTGTAAATTATCATCGATTTTGTAGGTTTTACTATAGAATTATAAATTTATTATTTTTTTCTCTCTTAATTTACTGATTTAGTTTCTCATACTGGTTTAGTTTCTCACTCCTGAAAATAAACTAAAATTAAATTTACCACATTTTCTCTTGAAAGTTACACCATTTTCATTCTATAAATCAAAGAAGTTACTAAAACCATGTCAGAAGAAACCAAAGAAACTCAATCAGGTGGTGAATTAGAATCAATTGATATTTCCCAAAAAGAACAAGAACAAGAAGAACAACGAACAATTTCAAGTAATACACCGGGAGAAATTAATGACACTCCACCAGAACTTCCACCAAAAGATAATATTCCCACTACCAATGGAATCGATACCAATTCTCAACCTATTACGTTTTCATTAACAGATAAAGTTTCACAAATCTCGGCAATTAGACAAGTTGAAATATATTCTTCACCCCAATTGAATGAAGTATCTGATTTATTTGTTAATAATACTATTGGAACAGATACTATCAGAAGTAGAATTGATAGTTTAAAGGGGGAGGGTGGTGATGATATTTCTGAAGATTTGAAGTATTGGATAAGTTATATTGAAGATTATAGTAATCAATTCTTAAGACTGACTAATGGAATTGAAGAATTAGAAGAACAAATTCTTAAAGGAATTCCTTCAAATATTCGATATTTGGTTTATTTAAAGACTTTACAAGTTAGATTTAAATTGAACCCTAAGGAAACATTTTCTAGTTTACTTGCTCGAGCTAAGACTGCTAATTGTAATAAAGATCAATTTATTGAAAATTTGGATTTAGATATTAAAGCAAAAGAAGTTTTAATGGTTCTTAATTATTATGTTAATGAATTAACTAATAATAACAATTCAGGTCAAGTGGATTCAATTGGTGGTGTTGGTGCTGCTAATGCAACTATCATAGAAGATGGTTTAAACGAAACCGATGGTTCCAGTAATCAAAGTAATAAATTACCATTTAATAAATCATTAATTCATATTTGCAAATATTTATCATCAATATCGGAATTTTCCCAAGAAGAAATGTTTTATGTTTTATTAAAGTTTAATAAATTATTCTTAAATTTAATTAAAGATGAATTGTTTTATAAGATTAATCGAACTTTAGAAGATGAATTAAAAGAAGAATTTAATCATATAAGTTTTCAAGGAATTAATTTGAATGATTTTTATAAGAATATTTTATTTAATTTCTATGATGATATCTTTGAATTAGAAGTTAGTTTAAAGATTCTTGATTTTGTTATATTTGAAGGATTTGATTTTATATTAAGATTGATTGTATGGTCATTCATAAGTAATAAAGATAAAATCAATCAATTAGAAGGTGATGATTTACTTAGATTTATTCATTCAAAAGAATTCTTTACTGAATTAACAATTGATTTTAATCAAGTATTAGAACAAGAACCACAAATTATTAAATATGAAAATGAATTTCATTTAATTCATGCCAATTCACTTTGTAATAATACCAATGAATTAACTAATTTAAAAGAAGTTAATGAAGAATTAATTATTAAAATAAATGAATTGAAAAATAAGATTAATAATCTTCAAATAACTCATGATGAAATCTTACAACAAAGTGATCAATTTAAAGATGAATTAACCAATGCCAATGAAGAAAATGAAATCTTATTATCAACAAAATCTGAATTAGATAAGAAATATGAACATTTAACTATGAAAGAAAATCTTAATAATACAATTAAAGCCAATAAAGATTTTCAACAAACAAATAAAGAATTAGAACAACAAGTTGAAGAATTAAAGAAATCGATTGAATTAAAGAAATCTAAATTGGCGAAATTTATTCCAACTCCTTCTCCCCCACCGGTTGATCAAGTTGCTAATACTACTAGTACTGATGCTGCAAATGAAACTCCTGCTTCTACCGAGGAACCAACTAAAGAGGAAGATGTTACCTCCTCTAATGCGGCTACCGAAACAACGCCTGAAGAAACCCAAGAGGTCATAGAAGGTTCTAAGTAGATTATAAGTTCTGTTTTATTCATAGTTTATAGAAATGGTTTTATATTTTTTTCACTTTCTGTTTACCAAGATAGACTACACTCTCACTTTAGGTTCATTGGATGATCTCTGTCTATATTTCGACTACGCCGCACTAGTAAAAGAGTGAATGATTAAATAGTTTCGAAGTTTTGTCTAATCTCTCACGACAAAATGGCCAGCGCAACAGTTTCTCATTTCTGTAACATTGCCAAGATAATGGATTTAACAATCTATAGAACGAATAATGCCAGCCCCGGTATGAGGTAACGAGTATTCTAGAAGAAGACCATTATGACAAAGGCGTATTTATTTATTCGTCAAGAAATTAAGGTTCTCGGTTATTAATGTCTCATGCAAATTAATCATTCCCTTTACATGTTTTTGTTTGTTTCAGAGTTGCACCACGTCCAACAGCGGCAGCAAACGGCCTCGGGTGAAAAAATAGAACCAAAAAAAAAATCAAACGATCATTATTTTAAAATTTTAATGGAACGATTTTCTTTTGATTTGTATGATCTGAAAATATTGTAAGTTAAATATTCAACAACATAACCTCCTTTTTTTGCATTCTCCTTTTTGATTATTTAAGACAAGCTACAGAAAAATGGAATTAAACAATCGTATAGACGATAATGACGACCGTCAAAGTGTTGGTGTAGTAGGAGCAGGATTAGTTGGTTGTTTAGCAGCATTGGCATTCGCAGCAAAAGGATTCCACGTTACATTATTTGAATTAAGACAAGATCCAAGAACCACGGATGATAAAAACAAAAAGAATTTACGTTCAATTAATTTAGCAGTCAGTAATCGAGGTATTAGTGCATTAAAATATGTGGATGAACAAATGGCCGAACGGATTCTTGAACATATTATTCCTATGAAGGGAAGAATGATTCATGATATTACTGGTACAAAACAGGAATCTCAGTTATATGGATTGAATGGAGAATGTATAAATTCCATCGATAGATCATTTTTAAATGAATGCTTATTAAATGAGTTGGATAGAGCTGAAGTAAGGGTATTATTTGAACATAAATTACTCAAAATGAATAATTCATCTGATAAAGATAAAGCACCAGTCTTAACATTATATGATACTAAGATTCATGAAACCAAGACATTTCAATTTGATTATATTGTAGGAGCAGATGGAGCTCATTCTCAATTTAGATATCAATTACAAAAATCAATGAAGATGGATTATTCACAAAAATATATCGATATGCAATATTTGGAACTTTATATTCCACCAAATGATGATCCAAATGCTGATAATAAATTCCATATTGATCCAAATCATTTACATATTTGGCCAAGACATAATTTCATGTTAATCGCATTAGCTAACAAAGATGGATCATTCACTTCAACATTTTTCAGTCCATGGTCAGTAATAGAATCAATTAAATCAAGTGAAGAATTTCTTGAATTTTTCCAAACCAATTTCCCGGATGCATTTAAATTAATTGGTGAAGATGCGTTAACACAAGCTTATAATTCAAATCCAAGAGGGACATTAATGCAAGTTAGTGCTTACCCATATCATAATCCTAATGGTACCGCTATTATAATTGGTGATGCTGCTCATTCAATGGTTCCATTTTATGGACAAGGAATGAATTGTGGATTCGAAGATGTTAGAATCTTAATGGAATTAATTGATGAAACCAAAGATGTCAAACAAGCATTTATGAATTATTCAGATGCAAGAAAACAAGATCTTGATGCTATTTGTAAATTAGCTCTTGATAATTATTATGAAATGTCTTCAAAAGTTACCAATATTTGGTATTTAATTAGAAAAAAATTAGATTATAGTTTAGGTAGGGTTGTTAATGGAAGATTTGGTTTACAATGGTTACCTTTATATACTATGGTTTCATTTAGAGATGATATTCCATATTCAAAAGCAATTGAAATTGAAAAAAGACAAGCTAGAATCTTGACTAGAATTCAATATGGTGTAACTGCCACGTTTATAATATGCGGTTTAGCTAAATTAGGACATTGGTATCATAAAGTTCATAAAGATTAGAGAGAGAGAGAGCAGGAGGACTTTTTAGATTGTTTTTTTTAATTAACACCCTGTATTGTTTGTAAATAAAAAATATTTGAATGAATAGACGAGCTGATATACATTTCATTTCTTTCGACAGTCACCTCGTGTAGACCCTTACTTGTAATGATAATAAAAATAATGGCGTGGAGAGTTCGAATAGAAGTTCATACGCTACGGGGAAGCAAACTTTGCTGAAAGGGTCTAGCAAATTATTCTTATCTCATCCCTCTTGCATCCTTGCTAGAAAAAGGCTGACATGATTCAGAGCGTCTCTATTTAATAGAAGTATTTAATACTAATAGGATAATGTTTATACCAAATTCTCTAAGAAGCTTTTAAGTTCATCCCACTGGATGTTGAAAGTTTTGCAGCAATTATTTTAACCTGTAAAATTTGTGCAACATGTAAATCGTCTGCCAAACAGTAAAAGTTATGATTCAACCTTTAAAAAAAATTTCAAGCAACAACATCAACTTCAAATCTAATAATCCTTCTCCATAGCAACTACAGAAACTAAACATGACCAACCCCGCCATATCAGCCTACCGTAATGCTATCAGAGCAACCAGAATAGCGTTCCGTCAAGATATACCCATATTACAAGCTGCCAGAACTCAAATCAAAACTGAATTACTTAATAATAAATCATTAACCGATAAACAACAAATTGAAGAAGCAGTTACAAAACTTGAAGAAGTTAATAGGTTTTTAATATCAAATGTTGTACAAGGTGAAAAACAACAAGATGGGAAATATTTTTTGAATTTCCATGAAAAGACTGAATTAGGTGATAATGAAACTATTAAACAAGGAAATAAATTAGGTTCATTATCAGGTAAAAAATCAACTCGTTTAGGTAAATAGAACAGCAACTGTTGTGTATAATTAACTTCTTGTAAATACATATAAATTATAGAATTTAAAATTAAAGCCTGGGGCAATGATGATATATAAATCAAAGTAGTTTTCTAGATAGTAGTCACAGGGAGCAAACTATGACTCAGAAAAATTCTTCTCAATTCAAGTTTTATTTAGTATTAGTCTTTTCATTATGACTTTAGAAATGTCAGCTCCAAATCCAGCTAGAAGAGATGTTATAATCTCAAAAGCATTATCATATCTTCTACGTCATGGAGCACTTAAAGAAAAATTATCAATTAATGAATTAGGATATGTTAAAATTAATGATCTTTTATCTCATCCCCGATTAAAATCAAGCCAAGTTACACGACAAGATATTGAAAGAATTGTCGCTAATAATGATAAGAAAAGATTTACAATTAGTAATGACAATCAATTTATATGTGCCAATCAAGGACATTCAATTCCACAAATTAATAATGATAATTTAATTCCCTTGAATTTTGAAGATTTGAAAAATTTTGAAATTTATCATGGAACTTTTAAGAATAAATTATCAATTATAAAACAATCTGGAGGATTAAGTAGAATGAATAGAAATCATATTCATTTTACATGTAAAGAATATAATACAATTTCTGGGATTAAAAAACATTCCAATGTATTGGTTTATATTGATATTGGGAAATGTATGGAACATGGAATTAAATTTTATAAATCGTTGAATAAAGTTATATTAACTTGTGGGAATGAAGATGGAATGATTCCTTGGGAATTTATTACTAAAGTTGTTGAAACAAATGGTCATGAAATTAATATGGATGAGATTTAGTATGGAGGGAGATAATTGATCTAGATCTACCGTATCAGGGAATGTTCTGTTGAGATAGACTTGATTCGAGACTCCATAGTTTCTACGTAGTGACCAGACCCTATGTTTTCAAACATCATTTCCTTATGAATCAATTTGTATCATCACGAAATGTTGGCTTTATAACCCTTCTGTGAAAAGACTACTGTATCTAGACTTTTTCCCCGGAACCCGTTTGATTCCATCCTGGAGCAATTCATTATTATCGGTTGCCTTCTAAATCGAACGTTTGTATTTATTGCATACATTCAAAAAAGTATATATTAATTCTAGAATTTTAATATTAAATATCGTTTTCTTGTTTCAGAATTGAATTTATTCAAAAATGAATCTGTGTATTACAATACCTTAAAGATTTTAATCAGATGTTAATTGAAAAACCGCTTGGACCAGTCATGGCAACCAAAAAAGATTGACAGGAAACCATATGGTTTGTAGTGGGGCACATGCTTTATACCAAATTTAAGCCATTAGAGCATTAAAATTCTAGGCTAAGAGATAAGATTCAGAAAAAATTTAGCCAGTAACTATATCTATTTAGGCATCACCAATGGTCCCCCCCCTGATAGACAAGGTGACCCCCTTTCCCAAATATGGAAGCGTATGTATTAATTAACTAAAATAATTCATCGTGCCCATTTCCTTTTACTTTACGGAGTCAATGGCGAAGGGTTATAAAACAATTAGATGGCTGATGCAACATCCAGTAATTACAGTTATAAATATGAGGCTTGTTTAAAATAATTTGACGTATTAATTAAAGTCTGTCTAGAACTTTCGATTTATAAATTAATTACAGCCACCACCAAAGAAAGAAAGTTTAACCTAATTATGTTAATTGCAATTAGTTGTTCTAGACTCATAAGAATAGATCTATTAAACATCCATACATCAATACATAATTTATGTAAAATATTTTTTAATTTTCAATTTTAGCTGCAAAAAAAAAATAAAAATAGAAATAATTTTTTAGTTTTCAAATAAAATTATTTAGTTTCGTATTAAAAAACAAAACTCATTTCTCTCCCTGTTTTAATTTACTCATTAAAAAAAGTCATTCTTAAGTTATTTCATTATTTGATTTTCCATTGATTTCTCCATTGATTGATTGTTTCATTGTATTTCTTTATATTTAAGCTTTTCAACATCTGCCCTTTATGGAGAAACCAATACAGTCAAGTACTGCAACTGCTACTACTACTACTACTACTACTACTACCACTACTACTACCAATCCCATCAACACTGCCACTACATCTAATTTCTTCCAGATTACATCGACGCCTGAGTCCTCCGTCTCATCTTCCACAATCGCCCCTTCCAACGCCACACACGACTATCATCCTTCCTTTCTGAATCAATTCTCATCCCATCCAAGTCCCTCATCACATTCATCATACTATTCTCCTAGAAGATCTACCCCGATAGACATGACAACACCTCAATCTTCAATTGATGATAATAAAATATGTCAATGGTACTGTTGTTCATGTGGCCAATCTTATGGTTCGGTGATATATAAACATAAGCATGATGACGATGATCAAGAACACGACGCCAATGACGAAATACAAGAACATGGAGAACAAGAACAACAACATTCATTTCGTCCTCAAAGAGTGCGAGAAAATTCCAGTAATAATTATATTATGGATAATTTACGATATTATAGTCGAGTCGTGTATCGAGATCATATTTCTGCGGGTTTACTGACAGAACTGGAACAACAGCGACAACCGCCACTACATTCTACTACAAGGCCACTTCCAATTAGATCAATATCCGATTATACCGATTGTAAACAACCAATGCCAATTATTGCCAATCATCCAATGCTTGTAACTCATTCAGCGCAACCTTCAACATCTCCAAGTCAATTATTATCACCTATAAGTTTAGATGGAACCAACTATCAAGATGATAATGTGATTGTAAGTATACCTACCCGATTTACTTGTCATAGATGTGATCATATGATGTGTCCGTACTGTCCGAAATTAAGATTAAAAGATTTACGATGAATAGTAAAATTGGGAAAGAAATAGAGAGAGAATAGAAATCTGGGGTAATAATGAAAAGAAAAGATTCTTTTTTTTTCGGCGTTTTTTAAGGGGAAATTGCGAAAGAAGAAAAGAACAAAAGAATCAAAAATTTCAGGGGGGATCGGGGGGTGGGGGATCGAACGACAATCAAACTATTTAATTTATATTTTCTTGGTTATCTGATGCCGTTTAAGCGGATTAAGCAAATTCATTCCCATTTAAAACATATTAATAAGACCATAGAGTAAAGGGAGGGTTGCTTAGAAACAGATGAGAAAAGAGAAAGCCAAAGGGGGTGGTTGACTACAAATGGTCCATTTTTCAATAATTACAATGGGTGAGTAAAAGAGATTCGAGGTGTCTCTATAGTCCATTGTGGCCAATCTAAATATGCATCAATACTAATTATCAATTAATCTTAAGGGACACCCCATCCTTGACACGATCCAATAATGGTATACAGCTCCTTATTTAATTTTAATTTAAATAATGTATAATAATTTTACATGAAAGAAAAATAGACAATTTGTTTAATCTTCTTTACTTATGACATCTATAATTTTGTTATCTTTTATGTACCGAAGTTCTGTTTGAATCATATAATTTCTTGGTCCATTATTTAGGTCCCCAGGCAAGTCCGGCCGAGACCGAAAAAATTTGCAACAATTAAAACACTGACACCGCAACTTACAAAAGCTTATTTAGGATTTCGCTTAAGAACTTTAAATTTACATTGCCCATGGTTCGTGTTTTTGACTTGGCTTGGCTGGACCCATTCTGAAATTACACATGCTGTGGCCCCTAGATCTGTCGGCTCCCAGAGTGAACGGAATTCTCGTCTGGATGATTAGTGAGCTATGGAGACTTAAGGTAATAGGAATCTGCAATCGTGCTTATGGGGAATCCTTTAAGTTGACATACGTGTGGATCTCCACCTTCTTGGGAGTTGGGATTCTAGAACTATTTTCGACTAGTTTCTGTCGATAAGTCATATATGAAGTATTAGCTCATAATATCTGCGGTATCAATATACATTTCTGCGCTTCCAAGCTTAGTTTGCTTATTTCTCATTAACGGCGTTTTACTCTTACATTGTGGTAGCACGGCTAAAGCGATTTCAATAAAAACCTAATTGATAACCATTGACATCCACCCCATTCGGAAAATGATCTTCGTAAAAAACCACTACAGGAAGAATGATAAACAAATTCCTCTTTGGAATAAGACCAAGATAATTTCAAACCTCCTTAATCTCCACAAATTAAATAAGACACAGCCAAATCAAACTAAAGAACTTAATATCCATTGTACAGCCAACAACAATGTACTAGTAACAACAATACAGTCCAATGAACTACTGTGAAATATCCCTTACTAGTGAACACTTAATAGAAAGCTGGCAATAGTAGTCGCTTTCACAACATTTCCAATATGGAATAACAACCATCTAAAGAACAACTCTGTCTCTAACAACTACAATCTTAACCAGCATCGACAAGTAAGGTAACCATAACCTGTCTAACCAAGTAAGTCATTGAGAATGGTATTCATGAAAAGAAATTGAAAGTGTGGAAAAGTCAAATGAAAATTGACCTTTTTTCAAACAACCATACATATTTACCAACCACATGGGATCATGAAATTGGTAACAAAGTGTCATTTGCGTCTTAAGGGGGTTGATCATTTGTAGCAAATAAGCAAGTTTCAGGCATTTGTTAACAAAATACATAGTTAAGCTCATTTGTAGCAAAACATACGCTGGCATTTGCGCCTTATACTAAACATAAAAACATGGTTTGCTGGTAACCTCGTCTAAGATCTCTTGATGGTCCATCTTTAACTGGCTGATAAGAGAAGCTTGTTGAATAAATAGAAAGTAAACAACCGCGATTTGTTTACAATTTTAAAGACGAAAGAAATTTTTTCATCCTTACATAAAAAAAGTAAGAAATAGAATTGCAGCCAATTTCTAATACTACAATAAACAAATCTTGCTAAGATTCAAGAATATCCCTATTGCATATACTACTATGTACTAACCACAAGTGTCTAAGATAACCAGATAGCAAACTAAATATGAACTTAATCCAGGTTACAGATAATTGGTAATAAAATGACGAAATTTTAGTAGAATTTGAGAAGATGTATTAAACTTCCTTATTTATTTAAAGAAGCATATAAATAAGGGATCTAATAGTAACAATAACAACAGCACGTCTTAAATCCTCAGAGAGAATACGCATTGTTTATAGTAACTCTCTATTAAGAGTCAAATAATAACAGTACTGTTTCAGGAGCGCTCCCAGTTGATAGCGCAAAGAAAAAATTAGTCCAATCAAGTCCAAAGAAAAAGGAAGAAAGCAAAAAAATTAAAAAACAATCAATGTATCAACTTCTTCTTTGTCCAAGACCAAAAGCAATCAAAACACTAGTTAAATCATCATCCATGCCAATGTCCAGCATTAGAATAACCCAAAGAATAAAACCTTTTGATTGGTCATTACTGATTGAAATAGATACTTCCATTTACCATCTTGCAAAAAAATTGATATATTATATACAACCAATTTAAATGATAGCCCATTTCTCCTGCACCATAAGATGATTAATGGTCTCGAGATCATATAATCAATTAATAATATAACGTATTCAAGAATATTCAAAAACAAAAGCTAAATTCATTAGGGTTAAGGAGATAGCCATCTTCAACGTTTTCAAGTTATATAAATGAAAAATTCCAAAATATCATATTTAATAATACCAGTTGCTTGCAAACAAATTTCATCTTTCCAAATGAAGAAATGGTAACTACTAATGATGCTCTATCATCCATCAAAAGTTGAGTCAGATGCCGGGTTTCTAACCCAGTTTAAAAAAATGATGTGGCACACGGAGTGGTATACCAAATTTTGAGATTACCAGTCACACAATGAAGTTCAGAAGGTCAAACTAATTTATTTTACATCTAGAGGATCGAAATATACAGGAACATAAATGGATAATCAATTGGGAGAGAATATAAAATTGCCTAATCACATGGTGGGGGATAAGAAATTTTTAATTTACAGAAGAACCATTAACGAACATTTAATGCGGTTATCAAAAGATAAAACTAGACACTCAGTATTATATAAAGAAGAAGAATTACCACCATTTGGAATAGATTGGTATGAGTAATAACGATTGGCAATAATGGGATCAGTTCATTATGTATGTACTTTTATAGAGCTAATAAAATTGATAATAATCTTAAAACATTTCTAGTAGTCTGATAAATGATATATAATTACAATCTTTACTCTGTAAGCTCTTTAAAATATTTCCTAAAGAAAGCTCCTGCTTGTATTAGAAATAATGAATCAGGAATTGAAATCAATTAATTTTCAAGTATCAAAAAAAAAAAAAAAAACTACAACTTACAACTTATTTAACACCAGCATCAATCACAATTAAAAGGAATCAATCAAGTTAAAAGGTTATCTCATCTACCACTGACTCTAGAGATTCTCTAGACACTACATACTTAAGCTCTGTTCATCTGGTTCAAATAAATCGTTGAGTAGTTCTTCCTCCACTTAGTTAACCACACTAAAAAAAATTCATCAATTTCATGATTTCATAAATTCAAAGAAAGAATAAACCTATTCAAGATCTACAAGAAGTGCAATGAAGAGGAGACTCTGAATAATAAGGAAAAGATACAAACGTCATCACTAGCTATAAAGTCAACCATATCAAATGAACCAAATTTCAACTACAACCAATTCACTCTCAAGGTAAAATTGAAACTAAAGCTAATCAAACTAAGAACAGAGATAGATCTTTCTTTTAAAATATAGACGCTGCCGAGCGTCGGCGGCCCCTAGCCGGGGAGGCTATCCGTCACCAAACGTAAATTCAACAGAGAGAGATAATCCTTAGTTAAATGTGTAACCCTCCTCCTCCACTAGTGAAGAGTTCAGAATATCTGATCAAACAACCTATAAGTGATGACAACCTCAATTATCCACAATATTTGGTCAGAGAATAGAAATTACTGATATATCAATAGATTATATGTTACATGTTGAACATGGTAACTTGTAGAAGAAATATATTTATTATTATATATAGTTACTATACCTAAATAAAAACCTCTACTAAATAGAAATATAACAATGAACCCCAGCGACACAAAAGATGTCCCCTAACCACCATCCCCCCCAAAATTTTTAATATATATAGATATTCTGATAATATCGAATTCGAAGCATCTCTGAGTGATTTTTGTTAATAAACAGATAAATCTATATTTATATCATAATTTACATTTTTAATTTCAATTGGTTTAGGCAAGAATTTCATATTTTTTAAATCAAGGTATTTACATATTTTTTTATTAGAATTTTTTATATTTTTTATGAATTTATTGTTAACTATTTTTTTGCTTAATTTAAATACTTCATAATCAATAAATTCTGCTTCTGTTAAATAATCATCAAAAAACGACTGTTCATAAGTCCAAGGAATAGTTAGAGTTCTATACATAATTGAATGATAATACTTTTTATCTATTTTTAAGTATTTAAATAAATTATAATTTCGATTACTGCTTAATAACACAGGATTGTATTTCTCTATTAAATATTTAGCTTGTTTAGGAGCTACAGTTATAAATCTTGATATACAATAATCCATATGTATTTTTCTTTTAAAACAGTATATAGCTAAATTGGAATTATTGAGTATATCTTTTTTATCAAATGTTTCAAATTCACTGTTGTAGTATTCATTTCCAGTTAAAAAATTACATACATTATATCGGTCTAGATAATATATTCTGGTTAAATCTTCTTCAATAAAATCTAATATATCTTCATCAACATCTGCGTCTTCATCCGGCATTATATCTTCGATATATTTTAAATATTTTAACTTAAACGTGACATCAGGGTCTAACTTATAACTATCTGTTATTAAATATAAATTAGTGTACTGGAAGTCTATTTCTTTTCTTTCTATAGTTAAATCAGTATAATTAGGCACCATACCTGCTTTTATCAAATTTATTAGAACTGGACTTATTTCTTTTAATGACAATTTATCAAAATTATGTTTATCCTTTTTCAAAGAGAAATATATAGATAATTGATTTTTTAAATCTGGATATTTTATTAAATTTTCAGCATGTTTTATTTTTGGTAATAAATGATTAATTTTTCCCATATCTTCAAAATATATACCCCCTTTTATTAAAGATGTTACTACTTCTGAATTATTAAACCCAAAATTTTTATACATATATTCAGCAAAATCTACATTCAATTTTGATCCATTAAGAACACAAGATATTAAAGAATCCACAAATATATATTCTTCTTTAAAAACACGTTTGAAATCTTTTAGTACGCCGTAATAGGCGTATAAATATAATTTATAATCATAAAAGATCTCTTTCATTTTTTAATACATAGCGTTTAGGCATATAGTTCCTAGGAGCTCGATTTTGGTGTGAAAAAAATGTTCTCATACAAGTTTGATTTTTTCGGGTGTGATTTTTTTTCGCATTTTGTTTGGGGATTTTGTTTTTTTGTGCGCATGCACTGCAAGGGAGTTCGCACTTTTGTTTAGGCGGGTGTTTGCGAAAAAAAAAAAATTCTAAGTATTTCGCACTCCTTAGGCGTACCTTTTTTCGGTGGGTACCGTATGGTTCACGCACCAATTTTTTCTACTTTGGTACGGTATTTTTTCTACCGTCGTTCCAAATTCGCACACCATTTTTTTTTTCGCTCTACTGTCACAGATTTGAATACATTCGCATCGATTTGACTAGAATTGTATTATCTGCGACATTGCGACATGAATGTCGCTTTTGGTGAATTTAGCTGATTTGAATTAAGTTAATTTGCTGTTATTGTTTGTATCTTTTAAGTAAGATTTGATTGTTGTTTTTATTATTTGTGTTTAAAGCACTATTTTAGTATTATTTGGTGTTTTTACAGAGTTATATTTAAGGGTTTCAATCCCTCTATTTTTATAGTATTTAGTTTTTAGAAGATTATCAATAAATTACATTTAGAACGATTTAATAACTTCAAGAATTCATAAGTTTTAAGTAAAGCCATTAGATTGGTGGAAACACAAGTCGTGAATCAAGCACTCTAGAGATATTGACATTATAGCTCATTTTACATATATCAGCACCATTGAAGTCCTACCACTGAATAAGAAGAGATTAAGTAAGGTACTTTCCCTTTTCGGCCTGCATGCTCGCACTTAAGAGTTTTTCCTCATAGTTGTGACATCTACCCACACTTTTTTTCCTACCACCTTTCTTTGTTTGTAAACTTTTTTTTCTGTGTTTGAAAATTTTTTTTCCTGCCAACCTGTGTTTGTAAACATTTTTCCTACCAACCTTTCTGTGCTTGTAAGCATTTTTTCGTATTCGGTATGAGAAATTTTGGAAAAAAATTTTTCTCCACCAAGTAACCCACCATAATATTCAATGTCCCCCACCACCAAATATATTTAAACAACCTGTCTATATACTCCTACATCTACATCTACAAGACCATGGCTATCATCTGATACTACCATCTCCCAAATCGTCTACCAAAAATTTCCTCCACCCTCATTGGAAACCCCCCCATACAAAATCCACCACTCACTATGTATCCCCCCTCATCATCCCACGGTTCTATCAATATCCTGCTGCACCTCCCTCCCATCGTAGCGCAAAAAAGGTTCCTCGTTTAAAGAATCCCGCTAGCATCGCAGCTCATCTTCGTCAAGCGAAAAATTTTTCTCGCCCTCAGAATATATACTACTTGTGCTTAACCGTTACCTTCGCGTGGGTGGTGCGTGGTCTCCAGTTTCCTTTATTTTCGACGGCATACTGGCCTGGAGGTGGAATTTTCCACTTCTTTCATTCAAACATGGGTAACATTTTATCTCACTAACATCCCTTCGTTATATACCTAATTGAATTGCTGCTTATAAGAGGTTTTTTGCATCATATGTTGATCCATCTTTTTTGTTCCTCTAATTGTATATCTGTTTATTATATTTCTGTATGTTATTATGTATAAGAACTAGAATAAATGGTTGTATCAGAAAAAAAAAA